TATATATATAAAAAGACATTTTTATGAATAAAGTATATTTTTGAAATAAAAAGGTCTAGATTCTCTAGCCAGGGGAAACATCTTCCCACCATTTCCCCTGTCAAGGCCTGTAAAAGATCACCACTCATTCTTCCAAACATTGCTAGGTTACTGTCAAATGGCAGTTGAGATAGACCCAATGCATCCAAATCCCACTACAGCCAAACGGCATTTCTCGAGACAGGTTCAGCAAATTGATATTAATGTGAGATTCGACTACCCACTCACAAAGGGATAAGGATGGTACTAAAGAATCACAAGTGAGTGGTACAACAATATAGTCTTTCACATCAGGAAACAATTCAATTCCTATTAACCCAATGGGAGGCAGTGAACTTAATAGACTTTATGGCCCTCTCCAGACCGCTGCCTTAAGTTTAATTCACTTTCCCAAAGTACAATGTTGATTTTCGTTTATTCATGGATGACACTTACCAGGAACATGTCATACAGTGTCTATAACTGGTACAAAGAGAATTGGAATTGATGTAGATGATCAGCCTCGTTCTAATGGTAGGGTGGTGCTGGTTTAATGGGCTGAAATGGCCTATTCCCTGTTCCTAAATTCCTATATTCCTCCAGAACAGAATATGATTTTAAGACGAGTAATTGGTAGAACATAGTGCTATCACATCAATACTGCCAGAAATTTAATTTGCTGGGGCACCGCAACAAAAAACACAGAAACTTAGAAAATAGGAGCAAGAGAAGGCCATTGAGCCCTTCAACCCAGCTCCGCTATTCAATAGGATCGTGGGTGATCATCCAACTCAGTCCCCTATTCCTGCTCTCTCCCCATAGCCTTTGAAAAAAAAACTTTTTTTTTGTATTGTGGGACTGACAGGAATTCAAAACCAAAAATCTGGATTGAAACAAATAAAAATCATTTACAAAATCTGAAGCGCACTGCACCCAGTTAGGATATTGAAGTTGATAGAAGAATTACCAACCCGAAATGTCCTCAGCCTTAATCTACTGATGTAAGGACTTTGACATTTTGCATCTATATAATGAAGTAAAATCTAAAAGCCCATGCCTAGAACAAATAGGGAGAACTTTGGGCATTTTGGTCAAATACTGGTTTGAGAAAAAGATTGTTGCTTTGTATTAAGGGTGCACTGCGCATGAACTAAATAGCTCCCAATACAAAGTGAAGGCAGAGTCACATAGTCCTAGTGGACCACAGGACTGCTCTCTCATTAGAGAATAGGAGTATGGTGACCTTCCCTTTTATAGGCAAGTGCTGAACTAGACGTTCGAATTCAAGATACCTCATTTTCTTGCGATCTGCCCATTGTCAGCTCCGCACTAGGTTATCATTCTTAAATATAGTAAGGAATAGTTTTAATGCTAAATAATATTGTTGTACAATAATATATTTTCTAAAACATTGTCCAATTGCACTGGTTCACAGAAAGCCTGGTGTTCAACAATAGCAAATATGTATGCGCATAAAACCATAACAATTAGGAGTAAGAGTAGGCAATTCAGCCCCTCAAGCCTGTACCACCACTTAATATGATCACAGCTAATCTTAATTTGGCCTGAACTCCACTCTCCTGTCTGGTCTCCATAACTCTTCAACCCATCACTAACTAAAAGGGGCAGCACAGTTGCTCAGTGGTTAGCACTGCTACCTCACAGGGCCAGGAACCTGGGTTTGATTCCACCTTTGGGTGACTGTCTGTGTGGGTTTCCTGTGGTTGCTCCGGGACCTCCCACAGACCAAAGATGTGCAGGCTAGGTGGATTGGTCATGCTAAATTACCCATAATGTTCAGGGACGTGTAGATTAGGTGGGTTATAGAGGGATGGGTCTGGGTGGGATGCTCTGTGGGTTGGTATAGACTTGTTGGGCCGAAGGGCCTGTTTCCACACTGTAGGGATTCTATGACAAAAAGATTATCTCTTCTTAAATTTACTCAATGTTCTGGCGTCCATCACACTCCAGGGGAGTAAATTCCACAGATTCACAAAACTTTGACAGAACTAATTCTTCTTCTTCTCTGTTTTAAATCTGCTATCCTTTATCCTAAAACAGTGACCTCTCGTTCTAGATTGCCCCACATTAGGAAACATCCTCTCTATGTCTACTTTGTCAATCCCCTTTAGCATCTTATACTCCTCCATTAGATCTTCTCTCATTCGTCTAACCTCCACAGAATATAGGCCTAAACTGTGCAATCTCTCTTTGTAAGACAAACCTCTCATCTCTGGAATCAACATAGTGAACCTCGTCTGAACTGCCTCCAAAACAATTATATTCCTCCTCAAGTCAGGGGACTAAAATTTCTCACAATACTCCAGGTGCCGTCTCACTAATGATATGTACAGTTGCAGCAACACATCACTACTTTTATACACTATTCTGTTGGCAATAAGTGCCAAAATTCCACTTGCCCTCCCCTATTACCTGCTATACCTGGAAACTAGCAAATATTTCAACTCTGAAAATAACAAATCTACGCAAGGATTGTTGATTGGCCTCAAAGCTAGAACTCTATTACATTTACCAAGGAAACAGTTAATGACACATAATGCAGACTTTTATAAATTATTAACTGCAGTGCTAAAGAACCTTTTTTTCCCTCCCCCTTTTCTCACTCCAGTGTAACTGTTGTTACAAACTCTCATTAGACAGGCCAGTTAATGTGATTTCTTTAGACGACCACACTCTGTGTAGCAGCAAAGTGTTCGCAATGCGTCCAATGGTTTTACTATTTGTGTTGCTTTGCATTAACATTATCACTGAACCCTGACACAAACACTGTTTCCAAAAATGGATGTCGTGTGTAAAAGGCACGTTCTCATTAATCCAGCTGAATGAGGAAATGTAACACAAATTTAAAATCAACAATAACGGCCCCATCAGTATTCAGTTTTTACCGGCCAGGCAGTCCCAGTTAATATGAAGTTGCTGGGTGGGCACCAGACCTGATGATACCTATTTCATGGGCACAAAAAGAGATCAGTAGCCCCAAAGATAACTGAAAAAATCTTTGTGCGAAAATTGAGCCTGACTTTTTTAGGAGCCTCTAAAATAAACGTAAAGTCCCTTCCATATGTAAACAAAGGTGATTATTTCCTGTAAATTGAGTAATTACTCAAATTCCTAGAAATTATTCCTATTCCTGGAGATTATTTCCATTCCAGGAAATTATTCCCATTGCTGGAAGGGTCAAAAGCCAGAGGACATAGACCAGTAAAAGAAGCAATGGCAACATGAGACTGTGTTCATAAGTGTGGAAACAGGCCATTTGAGTCCACACTGACCCTCCAAAACAGCATCCCACCCAGACCCACCCTACACCTGTAACCATGCATTTCCTATGGCTAACCCACCTAGCCTGGACACTGTGGGCAATTTAGCACAACCAATCCACCCTAACCTGCACATCGTTGGACAGTGGGAGGAAACCGGAGCACCCAGAGGAAACCCACGCAGACGCGGGTGAGAATGTGCAAGCTCAACACAGACAGTCGCCCGAAGGTGAAATCAAACTCCTGTCCCTGGCACTGTGAGGCAGCAGTGTAACCACTGAGACACCGTGCTGCCCCTTAATGGAGGCATATTTAATAAAGGCTTTCAAAAGGATATCAAATTCTGAATTCTGAAGGAAAAGAAATGCATCTTGAGAGGAAAAGGGTGAGATAGTGAGAACATTGTCACTTCCACAACGTTTAATTTTTGTTTCGTAAGTGGAGCTAAGTTTATGTTTCCACTTTAGGATCACTGTGCGTGTAGAGAAGGATGGGCTGAGTGTCCATAAGGAAAGCAGACAGCCAGCTGAGAGGATGAATAGATACACTGCTGACAGGGTAACTTTGATGGATAGTAGAAATTCTGCCTGTCTAAGGGAGGAACCCCTCGCTCCAGAGCTGTTCACATCTCTAGCAGTCTCAGCCTGGTTTGAACAGGGAGATATCTAACACTTCAGGGGCTGGGGGCTGGGTTTTGTAGTATGGTTGAGTTGGAAAGAAGAGGGTGGGGTGGTGTTCTACCTTCTCTGGGTGGCAGGGGTAGGTGGGGTGCTTCCAATGGGTAAAGAGCTGAACCCAATTGCTTGCCACTGTCTAAACAATTCTGTAAGAAAAGGGAATCCCATGCCTGCCTGCCCCTTATTATTTATTTCCATATGATAGGTGGTGCTGCTGACTGTCGTTCTTGCCCGGCCTCTGTATAATGTGGGTTAATTTGGCCATGGGTGGGCAGGTGGTGGGCTGGGAACTCACATGAGCCCCACCCCTACACAAAAACAGACTGGGCAGGAGGATGGATTCTGCAGCCCATACCCTTGGAGTTATTGCCTAGAATCTCTGCAAAATGCCCACAAAATGTGGAGATGGCTCGTCGTGTTCCAAACACTAACAAGGTCCCCAACTTCAGGTCAACCTTGGTCTGAAAAGGGGCCCAGAGGAATGCTTCACCCCCTTACATCTCGAGCAGAATCACAGAACTGCTACAGCACGGAAAGAGGCCATTCGGCCCACTGTGCCAGCACCAGCTTCTTAAGTGGGCAGTGACCTAGAGCCAATCTCCTGCTTTTTCTCCCCATACCACTTCCACATTATTTTAATCCAAATAATGATCCAGTGCCTTTGTGAATGCCACAATTGATTCTGCTCCACCACATTTCCAGGCAGAGGCTAATACAAAAGCCTTGCCAGAAGATGTGGTTCCTACAATACTCCTTAAAAGACAAACTGATCACAGTGACAGTGGACTCACTGTCAGGAAGAACGTACACATATAGATTCTATTTCCTAACTCTTCGAAGCTAAAACTTAACATAATTCAGCAGTGTTACTGCCAAGGATTTTAGGAAGAGTTAGGGATATTGACCCTCACTCCATCAAGAGTGGTGATGCAGCATCTTATAGATAGACTGACTCTGCAGTATATGTATAGGTTGAAGTCTAAAATAATGACTCATGTTGTCCATAACCTGCCCTCAAACCTACCAGGTTCATCTGCACTCTGCCGAGCTATGTTGAAACTCCGTGGTACAGTGGTCAGGAAAGAGTTGCATGTAAATTCACTTGAGGTGCTGCATCCTCTTCCTTGGGTCCTCTCGTAGGACTTGTGCACTTCATAGGAACCTGGTGCCGGGTGATCCTGGAATAGAAACATAAACTTAGCTGCACTTATGAAACAAAAATGAAACTTTGTGGAAGTGACAATGTTCTAAAGAACTATATGAAGGGGTCAGTAGACCCCTCAAGCCTATTCCAATATTCAGTTAGGACAAAGCTGACCTGTATCTTAACTCCAGCTACCCAGTTTGGTTTTACAATCCTTAACACTATAATTGTTGGTGTTTTAATTTGATCCCAAGCCTCATCCATCATCTTTCTTTTATTCGTTCACAGGATGTGGGCATCACTGGCCAGGCCAACATTTATTGCCCATTCCTAGTTGCCAAGATGGCAAGCCCATTGCTGTAGGTCACAGGCAGACTACGTAAGGGCAGCCACTTTTCTTCCCTAAAGAACATAACTGAGCCAGACAGAGTTATACAACAAAAACGGAAATTGCTGGAAAATCTCAGCAGGCCTGGCAGCATCTGTGGAGAGAAATTAAAGATAATGTTTCGGGTCCAGTGACTCTTCTTCAGAGCCTTCTGAAGGAGGGTCATTGGATCTGAAACGTTAGCTTTGATTTCTCTCACCAAATGCTGCGAGACCTGCTGAGATTTTCCAGCAATTTCTGTTTTGTTTCAGGTTTCCAACATCTGCAGTTCTTTCATTTTTTTAATCTATATTTTTACGACAACCGGTTACATGGTCCCTACTAGGCAAGATTTTAATTCCAGACTTTCTTTATTGAATTCAAATATCACCACCTGCTTTGGTGGGATTCAAACCCATGACCCCAGAACATTAGCCAGGGCTTCTGGAGTACTAGTCCATTGTCATTACCATGATACCGCTGTCTCCACTTGTCTCCACTTGTGAACGACACTTTGTTTTAAAATTCTGATCCTTGGTTTCAAAGTTCCGCCACCAACCTAATCCTGATCTTCCTTTTCAATAACTTCAACAGAATGGGGTGTGTCATGAGTGGGACAGGAGGAAAGTGATCTGCTTTTAGCCATTTCATCCAAAGTTGAGTTGGGATTTTAACCTGGGAAAGTCTATTACCGGAGGTCAGATTCGTTGATACACAGTCAGTGCGCCTCACGCCACAGTGTCCCTGGCACTTGGGAAACATGCTCAGCAGCGTACATTGGAGACAGTGGAGAAGAGATCTACAAAAACGTTTCCAGGGGTGTGTAGCCTCAGTGACCAGGATAGATTAAAGAGATTAGGAACATTCTCCTTGGAGTGAAGAAGGCTAAGAAAAGATCAGATAGAAGTTTTCAAAATCATGAGGGTTCATGAGAGAGTGGACAACGCTAAGTGGATAAACTATTCAGACTCTTAGATGGATCGAGAACCGGAGGGCACAGATTTAAAGCAATTCGCAAATGTAGCTAATGCGACGTAAGAAAATAGAATGAATGGTTTGGGTCTGGAACTCACTGTCTGACAGTGTGGTGGAGGAACAGTCAATTGAGGCATTTAAGATTGGGTTAGTTAATTATGTGCCTCCAGTTTCCTGCCACAGCCCAAAGATGTGCAGGTTGGGTGGATTGGTAATGCTAAACTGCCCACAGTGTCCAGGGACGTGCAGCTTAGGTGGATTAGACATGGGGAAACGCAGGGTTTCAAGAATGGGATGGGTCCGGGTGGGATGCTCTTTGGAGGGTTGGTATGGACTCAGCGGGGCCAAATGGCCTGCTCCCACACTGTAGGGATTCTCTGAAGTCATAATGCTCATTGGAAAGCAAACATGATGGGCCAAATGGCCTCCAGCTACACCATAACAGTTCAGAATCTACATATTTGGAGAAGAGGGGAAAAAAAATTAAGGAAAGAAAAGATACAAAGGCAAACGCTGGTTTAGGTGAGATCTGAGAGAACACGAGTGGATTCATTTTGGATATAACAAAATCAGTACTGAATAAATTACGTGACTAGTAAGACATTTTACAGGCTACTTAATAGGCCATATAATGAAATGTGCTTCATAAAAATTTTAATATCCATTTGCATTTAGAAGGTTAGATATTTGGAAACCTCTTCCTCTGTATAAAACCCAAGGTGGTTTCAGAATTTTACCAAGTACTTAATCAGCTAAACCTGTACCATCTGTTATTTTATTCATGTTACAATTCAGCAGCAAGTCAGTTCACTGAATATTTTCTGCTTCTAATTGAAAATTGAAATTGTAGCATTGCCAGGAATCAGTAATATCTCTTAAGGTCATGATATAGGCATGTCATAGTATTTCACAAGTCATTTGTGTAAAGACCATAACTTGTTACTTTTCTGTATTTTGGATTGTGGACTGAAATGGGAAAAGAACTATTTTAAAAGCCAAGGATTGTTGAAGTATAACTGCACTTTTAACAGCACTCATTGCATGTTCTGTCTATACTGCTGTTTGTTCAAATCCAGATTACTGCCAATCAGCTGGAGTCTGGCAATGTGTACAGAGGGTGATTCAGCCGAGAACAAAGAGCTGATTGGTCTGGGGAATGGTAACCAGCTATCAATGACACAGGCCTTCTGCTTGCCAACAGCTATGTGATTGGCTCCCAGGTAGCTGAATGATTACTCAGAAGCCATTGTAACCTCTGAAAAGGAAGGAGCTGTCATTTGCTCTGCCGTTTCAGAAAAGCCTCAAGCTTGAGGAAAGCCAGTTTATTCCTCTCATTGGTTGCTGCAAGCTTTGGCCGTTTAACCTATATGTCAGAGACTTTGTAAATATGAACCAGTCACCCTGCGCCTCTTGCAAACCAGTGAAAATACCTGGAGAAGGAGAATCGAGGAACAGCAGAAGTCAGGGACAGAGACCATTGTCCTGCTTCCCAATCTTTCCCTCCATCCATAACACCCATGTTTTTTTTGTCTCTCTGTGTGTAGGTAGAGTATTAGGGTGAGTTAGAGTTTTGATTAGAATAGTTATATATTGACAGTTCGTAACTGTTTACTTGTAGTTAGAAGCTGTTTATTTAAAAGTGGAAGCCATGATCTTGTGGAATGGCATAGCAGGCTTGATGGGCTGAATGGCCCACTTTTGCTGCCTTTTATATGTTTCTCCAACCCCATCCCAGTGTCCCTGGCTCTAAGGAGGAGAAATTGGTTTAAAAATATTTGGTTCGCCCATATAATCCTATGTTGGTGACAATATGGTTCATTCTGATGCCACTTGCCTTTCTCACCAGCATCACCATCACCACCTCCCCCCACCCCCACCCAACAATTACCGGCTAATTAAGAAGTCAAGTTCAATCATCACATCAGAAAAGCAATGGGCTTGGAACAGGGAAGCCAATGCTTATCATGAGGTTGCAGAGCCTCATTCCAGGAGGAAACAGTGAGTCCCAACTCCCCTAGCAGTACCTTGTCAAAACTGCAGCCACATAGGAGGCCATCATATACTTGACTGCCCCATTAGTCCTGTCTCACCTAATGTGACAAGGCCAACATCAGTGGCTGTGTTAGATTAGGGTGCAGCCCTCTAAGGCAGGCGTGAATAATTTTCGCAAACCACAGTCATAATTTACTCCAAATGCTGGCAGCTTACCACTGGGCTCTTCCCCTGAGCCTTTCCTGTGCTAATGTTAGTCCATCCAGTTGGACCAGTTCGCAAACTGCTGTGTTATTAAGAAGAGAATACACTGCTGGCAAAGCCCTCAATCCCATGTGGAGTGATAGAAACTTGGAAACGAGGTCATTTGGAATAGGCCCTTTGAGCCTGCTCCACCATTCAATATGGTCATTCTCAATGCCATAATCCCACTTTCTCCCCATATCCCCAATGCCTTTAGTATGTATCTATCCCTTTATGGAGTCATAGAATCAGCGAGTCGTACAGCACAGAAACAGACCTTTCGGTCCAACTTGTTCATGCCGACCAGATAACCTAAATTAATCTAGACCCATTTACCAGCATTGGGCCCATTTCCCTCTAAACCCTCCTAGTCATGTATCCATCCAGATGCCTTTTAAATGTTGTAATTGTACCAGCTTCTACCACTTCCTCTGGCAGCTCGTTCCATACACATACCACCCTCTGCATGAGAAAGTTGCCCCTTAGGTCCCTTTTAAATCTTTCCCCTCTCACTTTAAACCTATGCCCCTCTAGTTTTGGACTCCCCCTGGGGAAAATACCCTGGTTATTCACCCTATTCATGCCCCTCATAATTTTATAAACCTCTATAAGGTCACCCCTCAATCTCTGATGTTCCAGGGAAAATAGCCCCAGCCTATTCAGCCTCTCCCTGTAGCTCAAACCCTCCAACCCTGGCAACATCCTTGTAAATCTTTCCTGAATACATTCAGTGACTTGGTCTCCATGGCCTTCTGTGGTAAAGAATTCCACAAATTGACCACCCTCTGGGTGAAGAAATGCCTCCTCATCTCAGTCCAAAATGGTCTACCCTGTATCCTGAGGCTGTGTCCCCTGGTTCTAGACCCACCAGCCAGAGAAACAATCTCCCTGCAGTTCTGAGAATGGGTCACCGGACTCGAAACGTTAACTCTGATACTTTTTCTTTACAGATGCTGCCAGACCTGCTGAGCTTTTCCAGCAACTTCTGTTTGTTTTTCTCCCTGCAGGCTATCCAGCTTTGTTAGCATTTGATACCTTTCAATCAGATTCTCTCCCATCCTTCTAAACTCTAGTGAACACCAGCCCTGAGGTAGACTAAGGGCCTGCACTCTAGAATTTAGAAGATTGAGAGGTGATCACATTAAAGTATATAAAGTTCAGAAGGTGCTGGCAGGAGGATGTCTCCTGTGGCTGGAAACCAAGAACATCATGGAATGTCTCAGGAAGAGGGCACAGCCATTCAGCTCTGAGATTAGGAGAGATCTCTTCACAGTCCTCGCAGAAGATGTCATACAATGGGGCATTCACAGGTCGAAAGGAAATTCCAGAGTTAGGGCCCAGGCAGCTGAAGGCCAACAATTGAAACTGGACTTGCGCAGCACAGAGCTCACCGAAGGTTAAAACGAGCTTTCTGTTTTCTAAATGGATGAAGGAGTTTATAGAGATAGAGAGAGGCG